CAAATTTTCTTCATCATGTATTTAACAAAAAAGTGTATAAAATCATAAGAAAATATAAAATAGTTTTGAATATATTTAAATATAGGGCACTGGAAAACAAAAGCATGCATATCAGTAAGCAATACCAAGTAATTTACTTGCAATATTGTGCTCAATAAAAACAAAAACGCTACCTTAACGTGCTTAATGCAAGTGACGACAAAGATATTGACCGTGTTCACATGCACAGCATAGCTACGAATGTGTGCATTGTTACACATACAAGTCAATTTGTTCAATGACATATGAATGACTGCGAGTACAAATTTAAAAGTGTGTTTAAAAGTGAATCTATGAACTTTATACAAAATAAATACTGTTCAGCAGGAGTTTACATATATGCATGCCTGATATAAAGAATACAAATATTTGCATGTGTTTATGTGCTTAATATATATATTTTTTGTGTAATTAACAAAAGAAGTGAAGTCATTCTGCTGTGTATAGGATAAGCTTTTAGGATAATCGAGTCCACTTTCTAAATACAGTACTGCATATGGCTAGGCACTCACATTTACTCTTATTACGAGTAAAGATAATATAAACAAGATGCACAATACAAGTCTTCAAGTTAATGCAACACAAAATTTGTATTGCCATTTAAAAACATTCGTTTTTACCGTCCATAACTTTGATCGTGCCTGTATTTTTTGTACTCTTTTTGTTTTTTGTTTTTAAGATAAAAATCTTCAAGGCACTTGAGAGACATAGAAAGACACGTTGCGTTAAAGAGCTCAAAGAGTGACTATTCCTCATATCACATGTCTCATCCGTGGGAATGATGAGAAGAGAATGCAGGCAATGTTGCACTACTTAACATAAAAATATGGCAAATATTTTTTTTTATTGGTGAATATCAGCATAAATGGACATAGCTTTAGACCATTCCAGTCATTGAAGTGCCCTGATCAACCATACAACTCTGAGTGTGCACAGCATCAATGTGCAACAACAGAAATGCTTTCTGACTTGGAATGTGTGGAAACAAAGGGAATGTTTAACACCAAGTGTTTTTCTTAAGTATCAACCTTAATGCAAATTAGGAAATAATTTTCAGAGATCTTGTGTACACTTCCATGTTTCTTATCATGTGCACACTCATAATTCTTAAAATTATCTAATTCTATTCATTTACAAATTTACATGAGGCACTAATGCACAACCTTATTTTAACCAATCATCAATATGGACTAAAGCTACATTGCACATAAGACTTTATTTTGGGGTTCTTGCCAGACTTATCTTACTAGACAAATTTAGCTACCTTACTAGATGCACAAAATGAGAGCTTTTCCTTATCACAATTTAAAAAAAAAAGAGCTGCTCTACAAGTTTCAACGTGGAGATCCAGCAATCCTACTGTAAATATCCTCATCACTGTAGGCGAGAAACCATTAAATTGACAGTATTTGATGTTTTGTGGAGGATGGAGGTGGCAATCAACAAATCAGCAGACCGTAAATCGGCACCATCAACCTGTAAAAGCTTGTCTCCAACTTTAAGTGCCGAAGAAGCTGCTCCTCCACCTGCTACACTTGTCACATAAATACTCTGCAACAGAAATTATAAATTTATTAATGTACATATTATCACTTTTCTATCTTACATTATCAACACAAAGGAAAATAGGAAACTAGAAAATGCTCAAGTATTTTTATGTACTATATATCAAACATTAGTGAAAACATCTTCATGTATGTTCATCATCACATTTTTCATCACAATATTTTCTGACAATTTATACTTTACATTTGAACCTCTATAGAACAGACTACTGTAATTAGGACTACAGTAGCTTCATTCTCACCTTTCAAGATTTTAAGGCTTTTGCAGTATGTATTTTTTTTCAATTTATCACCAAATTTAGGTAAACTTTCTTTTTGCAAATGATACAAGACATACATATATAAATAGTGCAGTTTGAAAATTTAAAACAATACAAATCAAGTTTTCAGTGCAGTGCATTAAAAAGCATCATTCTAGACAACCATTCAGTTGTCCTCTAAGATGTGATCAGGCAGGATGGCATTCTGGTACCAACACCAAAGAAAATGTTTGAACATCTTTGCAGTCATACAAGGTGCTAGTGGGTCACTGAAAATTAATAAATCTAACCCATAAATCTAACCCAAAATAACCAACAAAGAGGGTACAGTATTTATAAAAATTCAAAACATCCAAACTAACCGCTTGTTTGCCGACTGCCCAGCAACCAAAATAACCCACCAAGTGGCGGTGTTGTGTGCTATAGAGGGTTCCAAGACCAAGGCAAGGCAATTATCACGAGAAAGTACCTGTACTATGCTACTATGACTATATAGCATTTGGAAGGGTCGTGAGAAGGATCTGGGATAGAACAGAGGGAAGGAATGGTGCCCAGGTGCTTGAACCAGAGGGGAATCAAATGTCAACCTGCAAGATGCAAGGCAGTTGCTGTATTGACCAGTGCAAATGGTTGGACCCCCCCCCCACCACCACTGAGAACAGGAGAGCAGTAACAGAAAGAAGGTAGGACTGGGGGTAACCAATTGATTCTAATCAAAGGTGCCTTTCATATGTAACATACTTGTAGCCTGATTTCAGAGGTACATTTAGTTACCCTCTAAGGCAAGAATATTCAACGAAATAATATACAAATTAAATATTAGATAAAATTCACTAGTGATACAAAGTAGCAGAAGGGTGCAGAAGAGAAACTGGGAAAAAAAAAATTTGCACCATAGTCACCAGCCAAAAGGACGAAGTAATAAGCCTAACCAAAACCACACAACAAAGTGCTAAACATGTAATCTTGGTGATGAACTTGGAGAGGCCCTGATTGGTATGCCAATATCCAACTACACATTTCTTGAAACAAGACATGCGCGAAAAAAAAAAAAATTGCACATTTGACTGAGTATGCTTGACAAGTGTATGGAACAGCTGAGAAATGTCCCAGTGTTCATGACAAGAAATGCAAAACATTTGATCATACAGACCTAGAATAGATCATCAGGTATGCTGCACCTAACCAAAGGTTTAAAGAGGAAGCCTGATAATGAAACCAAGAGTTTGGCATCTCCAAAAGCTTAAGCTTGTTAACAGACGTGTAAAAGCTTCAGTGCCAATGAATCAAAATGAAATGTGCTCATTCCTCTTCCCTAACACTTCACCGTTAGAAAGAATTTTTTCAGTGTCAGAGTAGTAGACAAATGGAATGCATTAGGAAGTGATGTGGTGGAGGCTGACTCCATACACAGCTTCAAGTGTAGATATGATAAGAGCCCAGTAGGCTCAGGAACCTGTACATTAGACGACTGACTGTTGAGAGGCGGGACCAAAGAGCCAGCTCAACCCCCGCAAGCACAATTAAGTATGTACCTGAAGTTATATAAAATGTCTGAAATCAACAAATATGGTCATGACATGTCCAACCTTTATCTGAAGCCAACAACAAATGCCTTTACTCACCTTATCCTCTGGGTCTGTATGGGACTGCCCAATGGTAAAGCCTAGGTCTGGATTCTTCTCAATCACTACCGGGAACTGTGGGGAAAACAATGCTTTCTACTAAATGTGTAACACTATGCCAATAATAAACATACAGAACTTTTATATCGTACTTCAATATAATGTACATCAATTAAATAAACCTTTGTTTAGAGATTGTTAAACAAGGTGCAAGTTATATATAAGAATAAGGAATTAAACTGAATGGAGGCAAGATGGCAGAAGGATGGGGTTATAGATACAATATAAAGGGCAGGATATTAGGCAAGGATAATGGAACAAGATGGATACAGTAAAGATGCCAGGTTAGGGAGGCAATTGATAATGATATTTAGGTTACATCAGATACATTTTTGTGAAACGCTTGACCATAAAACACGCCAAGAAACTAGAAATCTCACGAGGCGAGATTCTTGTCTGATAACTACAGTATTACATAGATATGCCAGCAATTTTCATGGCAATCTCTGACTAGATTTATAAGTTATAATAATGTTAAATTCTAAGGTGATCTGATAACATTTAACTATAACAGAGATCCTGGATCATATCACAAGAAATTAGCTCGAGACCTCAAAAGGCCCTTATAAGGGGTGGCCACAACAGAGAGGTTTCCAAGTCATCACCCACTTAATGATAATGTCAACAGGGCTTGGGTGCTCAAAGGATCAGTTTAGCAGAATGTAGTCTCTGACAATTTACGATGTTTTGACAATGCTGTATCCTTTAATGATAAGTACTTTTAAAAATCCCTCCAACACTATCTGAGTGGGTTAACCTGCGTTTCTTGTAAAGCTAAAAATAAGATTAGGGATCAATGGTAAAATAATATTTAAGAGCATAAAACAAGTAGATATATTTTAAGCAGAAGCATCTTCACATGCAAAATCGTGTTAGTTAGCCCCATTGCATCCAACGGCCACGTAATGGGCAGCATATCAATGAATGTTAGAAATGTTGCCCTCATTCCATGCATTGCACCATCATTGCTTATGCACAATTTGAATTACAGGATATATTATAATTTATATTTAATGCTTTAGAAAGTCATTAATTTGGTTTACCTTGCAGTCTTAACACCCTTGCATTTGTTTACACATATATATATATATATACAGTACCACATGTCAATGCTACAAATACCTGTTGTCAAAATAAACATCAGGCATGCATGATGTACATTCATTTTAGTCATATACAAAGCTACCAAATACCTGTTATTTGATCCTTTGCAAACAACTGCATACACTTGATAATCTCCTATGGTAAAAGTCTTAAAATGCTGTAAATAGATACAGTACTGTATATGACTTACAGAATTGCAGATTAAAAATATAGAATGTAAAATATTTACATAAGAAAAACAAATGCAAATCTGACAATCGTATTACCTGTAATTACCTTATTTTCCCCGAATCCCATTCTATAACACAAAAAGTAGTTATGTTACTAGGTTTGACCTTAATCTGTGAAATGCACATATCATCACAAGATGATTGACATTTGGTGCACAAATCATTCAAAGATATTTCAATTAATTTGTAACATCTGGAATTCCTGCTGGTACACAGCATGTATTTCCAGTCATTATATGAGGCCTCCATTAAACATCCATCATCATGAAAGGTGTCTTATGAATTATTGGACACGAGATGGAGTCCCCAGTGGTGGCCTTGTCTCTATCAATCCCCTTCACCTTCCCCCTTTTACACCTTTCTCCCACACTTACTCACCCACACACACTACAAATTGCCCTACAAATTTATCTAGATAAAAGCCATGTTATGGTATAATGTTTTGAAACTACTGATGGTTTTGGCCTCCACCACTTTCACACTTGTTTCAATCGTCTACCAATCTGTTTGCAAAAGAAAACTTTCTAATATTTTTTCGGCACCTTTGTTTCCTTACCATGAATCTGTGTCATTTTGTTCGTGAAGTTGCTGGTTACAGAAATTCCTCTTTGTCAATTTAGTCAATTCCTGGTAATATTTTGAAAGTGGTAATCATATCACCTCCTTTTCTTCTATCTTCTAGTTTTGGCATGTTTAACGCCTCTTAGTCTCTCCTTGTAACTCATTTTTCAGTTCCGGAAGCCATTTTGTAGCATGCCTTTGCATCTTTTCCAATTTAATTTCCGGGGTATGTGCTTCTAGAGATACAGTATGAGCACCATACAACTGCTGCATATTCCAATTTTTGTCCCGCAAAAGTCATGAACAGTTTCTTTGTATTTCACCATCCATATAATTAAAAGCAAGTCTTTAGTTGGAATGCGACACATACGTCCCTCTCACAATGTTCTTTGTGTGTTCCTCTGGTGACAGTTTATTATCCAAAACCACAGCCTAGTCTCGTTCTTTATTAGAGTTCTTTAATTCTTTTCCACATAATTTGAAAGGTGTGTGGGGTCTATTTTCTCCGATTCCACATTCCATAACATGGCATTTATTCACATTTAATTCTATTTGCCACTTGTTGCTCCAAGCACTTATTTTATCTAGATCAATTTGTAGAACATGACAATTGTCTGTCTCTCTTATCTTAGATGGGATCGTAGATTGGTACTGTGTCTTTTTCCATACATCTGCTAAGATTCCTGCGCACAAGGCTGTCTGGAATATTAATTGGAGTGGAATGCTCAGCTCAGTTGCACATTCTCACAGCACCTATGGTGAAACTCCATTAGGTGCAACTGCTTTATTTCTTCCTAGCCCCTTGAGTAATTTTTCCACTTTGTCTTGAGATATCTCTATGTATCCTATGGCATGCTCTGGAATTGGTATTTGGTCCGACTCTCTGAAATCCTCATTTTGTACAAACACATTTTGTAATTGTTTATTTAGAGAGTTTCACACATTTCTTTTTCATTCTCAGTAGTCCTGTTCCCCATCCTCTATCTCTCAATTTTATCCTTTACATTGAGCTTGCTTTTAATGAATTTATAGAAAAGGTCTGGATCTGTTTTACATTTGTCCACTATACCTTTCTCATAGTTCCTTTCTGATTCTCTCCTCACTGCTGTGTAATTATTTCTTGCTGGCTTGTAGTGCTGGTATGTTTGCAGGTTAGGCCTCTTCCTATACTAAACCCATTTTCTTGTATACTGTACTATATATTGTAAATTTAATGTACTGGTATTGTGTAATTTAGATATCACTAGATAATTATATTACTGTACTATTTATATAAAATAAAAACTTGACACACAACACTGTATTGATGAATTAGACAGGTTGAGCAGAATTTCACAGTATCAGGAAGAGCGTAGTACATTCAAATGTATTAAACAGATCTATCTAAAATTCAGGCTGTTAAAATTGAACATAAGAAATACATGTGACAAGTAAACGAAAAAAGAAAAAGTAACAAGTAATAACTATGGAAGAATGTGAAATGGAATAGATAAAAGTTATGACAGGGTTTTCCATACAATTTCAGGAAAGAGGGTGACAGTTTCAGTGTCTAAACCACATAATACACACATATATATATATATATATACAGGTATTATAATAAATGAACATGTATACATGGTTTTTCCCATATCAAATTAATAAAAATTTTCTTAAATCTGACTCGCTTTTGTTAGTGAGCTTGTATCTTAACTATAAGTAAATTTCAACTGCATGAGGATGACTGAGAAAGATATCCCTAGACAGGTATATTGGAATATGAACAAATAGTGCAATGACTAATGAGAACATGGGGTGCTGTAATGAATACAGCATGATGTAATGCATACTTGGGGTGTAACAAGTAAAGGGTGGTGTAATAAGAACAGATTAGTGCAATGAACAAAGCGAGTGTAATAAAGATAGGCAGATGGTGGTGGTTTGTCTTGAAGGTCTGGTCAGAGGCCGGGTTGCAGGGATACCAACCCTCGGAATCTTCAACAGGTAGGTAGTGGTGCAGGAGGTAACAGGGGAAGTGGCGATAGATATGATAAAGATGGTGGTGGAAATAGAGAAGCTAATGAAGGAGACAGTAGAAAAGATTAATGGAGGAGGTTTTCACCCATGTTCTTTTGTCTCATTTTCCCCTCAATTTGAAAAGACTATCTTTGTCCACTATTTCTATTTTCCAAGTAGTGATCATATTCCCTCTGCTCATTCTCTCATCTTGGGTTGTGAGACTGAGTTTCTTTAATCTGTCCTTGTAGATTTGTCTCCTAAAGATCAGAGCACTAGTAGTCTCACCGGAAAACTATGTTCCAATTTCATGTAGGCTGGGTAAATTGTCTTCCACTTCCATACAGAAGTATTTATCTCAGGGTACCTAATTGTCAACCTCTCTATACTAATGTGATAGTCCTGCAGCCTATTAATATGGGGCCCTGCTTATGAGAGCCACTTGCATATAATCATGGTTAGTTCTTTTTGCCACAAGACTAAATTACCTCAATATATAGCTTGTTTTGCCACAATGCACAGAATAAAAAAAATGCCAACTTATCCAGAAACATACAAGCCCAAGCAACCCACCTAACTTAACCTGCCGATGCATAGCAAATGTGAATTTTCTTGAGCTGCTACTTATTACAGTACTTTGTAATTTGTACTGTACATTTGGGACCACAGTATACTAAATGATATATATCAGTTGAAAGGATGGATTGCAATGTAAGCAGTGTCATAAATTAAAATGCCTATTCACAGAATATTCTGTACATGTTAATGCCATGTACTCATTAGATGTCATTAATCATACTGGCATACAGGGGCAGTGTAATTTCTGGAGTAAGTTAACCATGCTAGGTTTACTAGTCATAGAGGCAAATTCTTTCAGCTACTTAACAGAGGATTTGTGGAGACGATTCGACATACATTTGAAAAATGTGATTAGATATTTTTAGTGAAATACTTGAACTCTTTAGGCACATAGAATGCTGCATGAAATATAGAATAAATGTGTGGTTTAAGACATTTTTAACAAATAGTTTAATCATATGGAAAAGATGGCATTTGTTATACTTATTTAGAAGAACGAAACTTAAGAAGTCAGAATGACAAAACACTAGAAAGGGGAAAGCAAGGAAGTACACACAGGAAAGACCCCATGCAGGTTCATTGGCATCAGACCAGGCTATAGAAGAATGCTGCAAGGCTGCATGGATTAGAACTATTTTCTTTCATGATCCTTGACTGGATAGGAGTCCTTAACCACTGTGCTGCTCACCTTCCAAATACGGCACCCCCCAGAAGGGAGAACACGGAAAAGAGGATTAAAGATAATCAAGAGTCATCCTTTCATTCACCATTCATCTACAGCACACAATACAGCATAACAAAGAATGAGCACCGTCCGACTTCAGAAAAACATCCACAGCAGCACCCAGCAGCTCCATACAAAGACGTGTCAAGCACTTCTCATAAATTGTTAATTAACAATGTCCAACATTCACAAGTGTTATATTGTAAATGATTATGGTCAAAGTGTACCCGAGACAATGAAGTGCTGCCTGACATATTTGTAGATACGAGTGCTGACCTAGGAAGCATGTGTAATACCTGTATACCAGATTAAGCAAGTGCAGAATGGGTATAAAAGTGCACTAATGACTAAGAACTTGACACTACATATTTACCATTTGATGTGAAACTTGGACACTCTTCGTTCAGGAACTCGAAATTTCCTGGCCTGGATGGTAGCATGAGGGAAGCAAGAGTAGTTTTCAAGTGAGAATGCAAAGCAGGCTAGACAGTATAATCCAGTTTAGATACTCATCAAGGTGTATGAATAGGAAGTTGTTGATGAAATCACTATTATTATGGTGCAGGTTATCATCTTGGAAAATGATTATGACCAAAACAGGTTTTGTTAGTTTACATTACCAAGAAATTATAACAATGGAAAAATATACTAATACCGCTTTTTCAGCTCACACTGCAGAACATATCACTGAAGATTATTAAAAATACAGCCAAGGAAACTTATCTTCAACATAGCTTCTAATTTAAAGCCATTACATCTGTCATTCAAATTCAAGAAATGAGAGAGAATATAGTGTACTTCAGCTCGCATGTACGCCTATCTCCATGTGCAAGTCTGGATATTGGTACAGTATTTAGTGATTACCCAAATTTGTCTTTAAGGTTTCACTCAATAAATTCAACCAACAAGTCCAAGACTTATCATCACCACTATCATCAACTACAAAGAACACAAATCGATCATAACAAAAATTTCTTCTTTTAAATTTGTTGACCGAGCAGGCCTTTACCACCTCTTCTTCCAGCATGTTCCATCTGTTCTATTACAGTACAGTACTTGTATGCAAAAAGGAGTTCTGTATGTACTTTCTGGCACCACTGACTCATGTTCCCCTTTTCCACCTATGGCATCTTGCTCTCTTTCCCTTACTAGGAACAAACTGCAAATATTTTTTTTTACCAGGTGTCTTGTAGGTTGTAAACATCTTTCCTCTGGCTGTACAGTGCTCCCCTCTAGTGTTGGCAGTGGCAGCTCTTCTAGCCTGTCACCACAACTCGGATCTCTTTCTGCCATCAGACTTGGGATAAGTCTCAGGATTCTAATTTTTTTTTTAGAATTTCATGAACTGTATATTCCATACAGGTGCTGTGTATTCCAAGAGTGGCCTCACATGAGCTGTGTACAACACAGTGTTCTCAAGAATTTAGATTTTTAACTGGTTGTGATTTTATAGAACATTCACACACGAAATTCTTCTTGCTTAAGGTTTAAAAGGGGTATTGTAATTTTGCATACGTTTCCTATACATTACTGTACTACCGATTGTATGCATTTCTGATACAAGACTTCTAATGTTCTATCCTTTGAAGACAGTTGATACTTCTTCTTCAAGCCAAATGTCTTCCTTTATAAGTGTGGCTGTTCGCAGTCATCATCTAGCGAGTTTGAAGACTTAAATAAAATGTTATAATTCAAACCAATTAATATTTATCAATTGCCACAGATGTGGTAGGTAAAGCAATGGGTATAGCAATTTCACTGTGGAGCGGGCAGCATGAAATTATATGCATTTTTATTTCATTGCAGTGAAATGCAATTTCACTGCAATGCACTGTATTTACATAATTTTCCATTTGAACATAAGGATTAAAATAACCTAAATAAAATTTGTTGATGTTGATGGAAGCCAATGAAGTGCCTCACTCATGCTTATGTTTGTAATATGTGTATGTCGCTCCATCATATAATGATAATGAATGTGCAGTGTTCTCATAACTCGGTGAACACCGCACATTTATTATCGTTGTATGTCGCTTCGACATACAACGATAATGAATGTGCAGTGTTCATCGAGTTATGAGAACAATAACGTGCTCGCCAAAAACTAGGAATAATTGGAGATGAAGGGTTGCATGATAAGAATGTGTGTGTGTGGGGAAGGGGGATTGCTTGAGGGGGGGCTACATGTGACGTTGCATGGGGGAGGGATGAAGAACTATGGGAATGAGATGAGGAATTACATAACATGGATGTGGAAGTGAAGTTTCACGAGGTCACTCCCTCCCTCTATACAATCCCCACATTCCACCTCAGGAACATGCAAGATGTGTGTGTGTGTAGCTGCATGGTGAAAATGTGAGGCGATACAAGGGGGAAAATGGCAGCACGAGGGGGGGAATGTGGAGTTACTTCACAGGGTTGACGGGTTACATGAGGGGGTGGTGGGGGTGTGGAGCTACTACACAGGAACGAGGGGTTACACGAGAGGGGGGGGGGGGGGGAATTGTAAGGTTGTTCTGCACTTGATCCCTCTCACTTCGTACAGGAAAAGACGAACTGTTAACAGGAGAATTTAATAAACAACAAACAATGAGAAGACACCGAGCTAAAATACTTTTAATCGCATCTTCACTGCAAATTAGCTTTGCAACAAAGCCTTAAATAAATATAGTACACAAAATTAATACTATACATAAAATTAATTTTCTTGCTTGGAAAATACTTGTTTAATGAAAGTCATTTAACAAAAATTATGAATTAAGAGATGAGAAGAATGGAAATACAAATGAGATTCTGAACAGAAATCAAGTATTTTAATTCATAATTTACTGGTTTTAAGATGCATGCAAATTTATTTTGATTAATCTACTATGGGAAAAAGTCTGCAGTACTCATCTTTCATTTTGAGTGACACTGGAATCCATAAAATGGTTTTCTTGGCCCAAAAATATATTACTCAAAATAAATTATTCTATCTATAAGCAAGACTGAGCAGCTGCATTAGTTATTTGCCATTATTGTGTTAGTGCAGCGTACGTACATTCTGACATACCACTCGGGCATTTTTATGTTGGCCGAACATCCATGCTGATTGGCTGGCTTTATTGCTATCCGGGGATGGTGTTACAGCTGGTGAAATCCGGTGTTTGTTGCAGCCTGGAGCAGGCAGTCTAGATGGAGTCCCTCCTGAAAATAAATAAAATCTGTATTTATGTATACCATCAATCCTTGAGCTGTACGAGGAATTGTGTTCCTGGGTAACCCCAGAGTAAACTTAGTTTACTTAGCCATCACTAGGGAAAAATACAAATGTCACTCATTTAGTCCAATTAGATTTAATCAGTTAATCAGCTGAAGACTAAAGTACTCATCCCAGAAAAGCTACTGCTAGAGCCCCCAAATGAGGAAAGCCAAGGGTGACAAACCGAGTACACTCCAACTAAGTGCAAACCCATAGATGGGTCATGGGCACTGCAGTCCTAAAAGATAATGGCAATACAGGCACGGAGTTAGAGATCTCCATGTCAAAAGCTCCATGGCTCCATATAAAAAGGCACTGCTTGATCAATTTTTAATTCAGTTTTGTATTTTGTTTAACATCTGTATAAATCCCAAGTACAGTATACAAATATGATTATGCAAAGCTCAAGTATTTTCCTACCTTCTTTGCTTGGGAATTATAGATTTTACTTAATGTTTACCATTTTAAGATAAAAAACTTTTAAACTGTGTTCAATTCTAAAACAAATTAATGACAATGACACTTGTTTTTTAATCTTTACTTTCTGCTATAAAAATACATGAAAAGGAAGACAATGGTACATTTTATTCCCACCTGAAGCCATTGGTATGCGAGAAGCTGAGCCAGTGGAGGTGATGGAGCCTCGGGACCCAGGGTTTGTTAAGTGGTTGCTTGGTGAGATGGGAGATGGTAATGGGATACCTGGTGTGTTGATGGCAGTATTTACCATGGGTGGACGTATACCACTGGGATATCCTCTCAAGTGGGACTGAATAGCAGGCTGCTGCTGCTGCTGACTAGGTGAATGAACTGTGGGTGGTCGAATTCCTGATGAATATCCTGGAGATGGAAGTCGTGTGGATATATATACGTGTCCCGCATCTTGATAATTCTGGGGACTGGAAACGTGTCCATAAGAAACAAGGTGTCTGTTGGAGTCACCAGGCATGGTAGTTGAAATGTTTCCAAGGCTAGGCAAACTGGAACCTTGATTACTGTTGCATCTACTCTGCAAGGACATCAACGGAATACTGGATCCATTACTCCCTGTCACCAGTGGTTTGTTGAGGGGGAAATTTTTGTTCCCTATAGTTACATCTGGGCTTGGAAGTTTTCCAGTGTTTATGCCAAGTGCCTCACGGGTCAAGTTACTTGACGTCCTGCCCATCAGTCCCATCACTGGGATCCGAGACTCACTTGTAATTTGGGATTCAGCGTTGGAGTTGTAACCCAGAGATTTCAGAGATTCTGATAAAGACTGGGCATCAAACACTGCATTATGAGAGTTATGTCCCACATTGCCTAATACAGGCAAACGAGTGTCGCATTGTGCTTGCTTATCATACATCGAATTATTAACATTTGCTCCTTTAGAACTAAGTGTAGGAATCTGTGACTCTGCAAAGTTTCTTCTTTCTTGAGCTAAACTGCTTGAACTTTTGCTAATGCTAACAAGAGTTGGTATTCTTGATTCCACTGACGAGTGGGCATCATTGGTTAATGAACTGGAATTACGTCCCATACAACTGAAAGTGGGAATCCGGGATTCATGAAGCGAATGAGAAGTGTGACTAGAACTGTGAGGATCTTTATTAATTGTTTTAATTTCAGGAAAAGGCACTTCTGTGATTAGAGCAGGAATTCTTGATTGAGGTTTTGATGTAACCTTAAGAGGAGACAGAGTACCTTCAGAATGTCCCACACTACTTTCTGTATCACTGGACTGATTTGTTTCAGATTCTGATGCGCCACTGTCGGTTTCCTGAGAATCACAGAGAGGATTCTGGGCAGATGATACAGAATCTTGCAAGGAATCATGGGTATGTCTTGAAGCTGAAGAGAGATTGGGCCAATGGGGAGTTGGGTGCAGCACCTCTCCACGTGGCTGATCCTGTGTAAAATTTGCAGGCCCATCAGAAGAGACTCTGCCACCTGAGGAACTATTATCCTGGTACTCATGAGAACCACTTGTATCTATTCCTGAACATAAACCTGACTCAACAGATGTAATTGCAGCTTTGATAGAGGCATCTGATGTACCAGATTGTGTTGCAGTCTGAGAATATCCAGTAGAAGGAACTGTTGTCATTGAGGTCGAGTCAAATGACTGAGGCACTTCACAAGCAGGCATCTTGGGTGGTGGACTATCACCATGCTCTAACAAGCTGCTTGTCACCTGAACAAAAAAGGAAACTCAATAAATACACAATTTAAAAACATTATTATATGCAGTGTCACCCACTGGTACTGTACTTGTATTGTACGTATTGATAGTGTGCTCCTGGAGTGTATTGGTACTCACAAATCCATGATGCTGTATTGCATATTATGAATAATATAATATATTTGTTTAATATTTATGAAATTTTACAGCATGATGCTGGCCTCTCACAATGTTCATTGTGAGAGGCCCTTGTCCCTTGTGATCATTCCAAGGATGTTGATCCCTGGAATGATCACAAGGTAACCACTGGATATTATCTATCCAGTCCAGAATGCAGGAGGGTATGGGCAGAAGGATATCAGAGCTATTGAGTGAAGTGGACTATGTTATTCCTAGGAACTTGGAGATTTACATGTGCAGCTGCCTTATGCAAATACTATTGCTGGAACAAATGTGGACGTCTTCAAGAGAAAACTAGTTAGCTTTCTTCAGGAAGTTGCGGAGCAACCGGGCTGTGGTGGATGTGTGGGCCTGCGAGCCGCTCCAAGCAACAGCTTGTTGGACCAAGCTCTCACAAGTCACGCCTGGCCCCGGGCTGGACTTGGGAAGTAGAACAACTCCCATCCAGGTACTGTACTGTACTGTACTTCTAATTCTCCTCCTCTCACATTGTAATCTTTCTATCACCCCCATCTTTTTATCTTTTTCTCCTCCCCCTTCTCTCTATCACACTGTCCCTGGTGGAAGAGGACATTACATAAGGGTGTGACTACACCATGTATAATTAACACCATCACACTCCAGCAAATTATCCTCAGTGACATGCCACAGCTTCATACAACAAGGTAGTGTGTTTCCCGAGTCAAATGTCAAAATGTCACAAAACATTTTTTTTGAGTAAAGAAAAAAGTTAACATTTTTTTGACATTTGCATGTTTCCTGCGACATGTTTTTACCCAATATGTTAACAGTCACTCCCTCTTAAACTGATTCCACGTACACTGTACCTCCAAGTCTTCCCATGCTGCTCCTTGTGCACTGTCTCACTCGATTCCCACCTCATTACACACACTCAATATGTCACCTCTCTCTCTCTCTCTCTCTCTTTCTACCTTTCCATTTGCTTCAATACACTATCTTAACCACTTGCTTTTTTATCCATTCTTTCAACATTTACAATCTTAATAAACTCCCATCACTCTTAAGATTTATCAACTTTTGCACTCTATATTTTTTTTACATTTTCATTCTTTGGTTTATTTACACTCCTATCACCACTAATGCATCTTAAGATTATACATCTCAACATTATATCTCTCTTGATAATTTCATGTTGAAATCACACCATTGTCTCGTCACTGTATATAAATAGTGGCAGCTACCACCAATTCATCTATGCCTCAAGCTGCATCGTTTCTCATCTTATTTTTTGTAATTACAGTGCCAGTCACCTTTTCTTCACTGCTTGCTCTACTCTAAACTTGTGCACACCCCCGTTGCATTTTCTACTTCAATAATATATATGCAGTATACATACATACATGCATGCATGCATACATATGGTAGTGCATAGTGGCTTCAAAAATCTTGTGATTTTTGTATCAAAAATACAAATACAATATGTATTTGTGTTTTCAAATATTAATTGAAATGACTTACTGGATATAATACACAAACCTAAAGGTATAATAAAGTATTCAGGTGAGACTAATTTAACTGATATGGAAAGTGCATAAAAATCTAACTAATAAAAAGCGCCATTATTCTCAAATAAAAAATTATGTTATTGCACTTGAAACAAAACATAATTGTCAGTCCACATGGCTTAAATATGTACATCACCTGATCAATAATGGAGACGAGACCATTACTCTCTTGCCGGTGGTTAGGAGCACCACTTGAACTCTGATGGTCTGGTGTCCATCCCTGTCTTGTACGAGTCAAGTCTTGACTCTTGAACATTTGGAAGTCATTTGATCTACTTGGAGCCATTACGTTTAGCCCCATGTGGGACGCAGCTCTGGCAGGAGCTGGTGGGATACCCAAAGTGTTGATAGGCGCAGCCAAGGATCCTGGCCGATGGTCACGAGGCAATCTGTTCAGTAGAGCAGAGTCTGCGAGGGTTCCCAATGCAAGGGATCCAGGCCGATGTACCACTCGAGTGTTGCAGTTTTCCAACTGTGTCCCAGTGGCAATAGAAGCTGGTCTGGCACTGGATGTGGCAACATTGTAAGGCAGGTTATGAACATCACCAGTTCTTGAGAGCGACTTTTGCAGGGAGTCGTAAGAAGGACGAGACACAGACGACGATGGTGATATGGTCGAAGGTACATTCTGAGAGGTAGCCCGTGAATAACTGTTTGTTGATATTGGTACATTAGCAGGGACTGCAGGTGCTGATATGGAGGAAGTTTGGGGAGTTGTTGCAGATATTGGCACAGTGAATGATTTCACAGAATACAAAGAAGTTACATCTGCACTGCCTTGAGGCGACGATAATGAAGAAGGCATAGAGAAGCCGGAGTCTGTGAGGTTTTGTGGAGAAGATGGAGTATTGATACCGCTGCCATCACTACAGTGCTGCTCATCAGTAACTGAAAACAAGTTTTACAATGAGAAAAATCTATTGAAAATTCTGTCTGTTAAAACAAAGAATAAACTGCTTACAACAATGCAAAGAAGTTGAAAGCAAATTTTTTAGGTGTACTATAACATTTTGCCTTTAGGGGCATTCTCTAATTAAACATTATACAGGTTTCTGTTTCCTTCTAAGGGAACAGAAATGGGAGGGGCAAGATTAAGGTAGTTACGGTGGAGTCAAGTCAGGGAGGCAAGGGATAGGTCAAAATACGCACAAATTTAAGTGCTAATTAGGCAATGTATAGCAATGCTGAACTTTTATTCTTTGATGGCATTGTAGTGATTAATGGTCGCAGATTACATACACTGCTTTTATATAATTGCTTTGATTTAATGACGAGTTCAATGTGCCTAACATTCACGAAGTGAGAGTGTGAGTTTGTGTGTTGTTTTCGTGTGTGTAATGCACGTGGTGTGGGAGAGTCTTCTACCCTGACAGGCATGGTGTCTAAAAAAAAAAAAAGTTGGGTTTTTTAAAAGTATTGAATGTACAGAATAATTAGACTGCCATCATATTTTTTCCCTTTTTTGGGGGGTAAATAACCATCATACAAATGTGTTGTGTTGATTTAGGGGCGACAACGATCGTGGGAGTTGATGCGCCCCATACAAATGTGTGATGGTTATTGAATATATAGCTCAGGAGGTGCATCTTCCTGGAAATATTAGCTTAATCAGGTTTTTAATGATTTTTAGAGATAGGCATTTAGAGAACTTTTGAGAATATTTTAAACAAAATTATATGGTTAATTTTCCTTTTTGATTTTCATGGTTTCACTCATTCCTTCAGATGGCTGAAGAGGAAGAATCCAGTGTACATTCCAGTGTGTTCTCGGCAATTTTGAACAAGAAAGCATCATTGTGAAGGCAAGGGAGGTAAAATTACGATTATGCTCAGCTGATGTACACCATGTAAGCAAATTGGAAACCATTTAACTTTTTTCCATACTGCTTTGATCCAATTTTTAAAGATTTGTGTAGAAGAGCTCAACAGACAAAAATTAGGAATGTGGAAATGCCATTGATTTAATACAAAAATTATATGGTTGGTATGCACTTTACACTATCAAACTCTAGTTTTAAAATGCGTGCCTTTAGATTGAGAACGATTTGATACCAAAATGAAAGACGTAACACAAAAATTTTGTCAGAACACTGGAAGATAGAAATAATTTTGCGGTGATGAGCGTCCAAAATTTAAAATACAGTATTTGTTAAAATTCCATTTATTGTTTTATTATTATGGGACTACAGGTAGTTTTAAAATATGCGCCTTTATATTGCGAGCAATTTGATACCAAAATGAAAGATGTAACACAAAAATTTGTGTTTTAAACTGAACAAGTATACACATTAGGTTGCAGGTGTGCCAATTGGTGCTCGTCCATGAGTAACGGTTGGCCGACTTTAGGCTTTGCTACGGGAAGTCACGCTGGGCTTTTGGACCTTATATACATATACCTCTGTAGGGAATTCTATTGCGAACACTGATACCAAAACGAACGACGTAGCACGAGAATTAAGGTGAGAAAACTGAAATGAGTATACACATTTCAGTGTCGCCACACGCTCACCCACACTGCCGGAAGCATGACATCAAAGTCTGCAGTGCGCCTGCGTCGTATGTGAAAGTGTCAAGTCTGAGGCAGTAAATTCTTGATACAATACCAACAACTCGCATAGCATGCCAACTCATAAAACCAAGAGTTGACCAATAAACTACTTTTTTATCTTAAATTTTGATCCTACATAAAAATCAAGACAGCACTAAATCCCACCAAGTAGACACAGTATACGAGTATAATATTGTGAGGCAGTTTCCCAGTTACCCTCTGATTGAAAATTTGACAAACCTGCTGGATATATACTCACTCTGTTGACTGGATGCTTTCCCATTACCATAGCCACTGTCACTGGAGCTGCTGGTGTCATTGTTTTCATCTTCTGCTGCAGCTGCTGCTGCTGAAGTGGCAGGAGATGCAGCTGAACTCTGTTATGTAAAAAAAGAGTGGATTGAAAAAATTGACTAGCTGATAAATCATTTATCCGGTGCAGTAACAATGTCATTGACACCATATAAACAAATACTTTTGGGATCTTTAGGTTATGTTTACAATCTCAGTAAGGCCCAAACAAAGTAAAACTAAAGAAAGGCTCTGCAACCCAACTGTACCCCGAGGTTTACCTCTACATAACAGAACAATTAGTCGGTCTCGTGTCCTTTGGTCAAAAGAGAGGGATGGGGAGGAGCTCCATAAGTTACAATGACTTGCCCACAAGGTTGGAACACCAACATCTTACATTACTTAACTCTACACCTACATCATTTTATAAATGATACAGTACAACTATGAAATTAAGTACTGGTATAATTACAAATTTCTCAATATATTTCTTAGCACTTTGGTGTCTTGATGACACTCGGCGTCATAAAAGCCATACACGCAGAGTGGGTGATGACGCTCTCGGTGCCATGCAATAATTTTTGCTTATTCTTATTATTAATTATAAACACCGAGTGAAAGAGTTTAACATTGGGTTGTATGCTCACCGGGAATGCCCAGCCTACCTTCTGATGCGATGCGAGTAGCCCACCAGGCATGCAAATGTATTTATTAATATGCCACCTCAAACTTCATTCACTTGCACAGTCTTCCATAATCTAGAATTTTCTGCTATACTGTATTATGAAGGATTAATATATTAAGAAATACATTACATAAAATGAACATTAACATATTCTTGCAAAGTGTTAGTTATCACCCACTTACACAAGAATTTAAATTTTTGTACCTGCTGTAATCCATTGCTTTCCATAACAGCATGTCCATTACTGCCAAGAGCTCCACTAGGTATCAAGGAAGGCTCCACACTAGATTCATTGAAATTTGCAGCATGCCTCGACATGACAGCAGCTATGTGATATGGTGGCGGCTTCTTAATACGCTTGTCAACAGCTTCATTTGCTAATTCGCTGTTTGCAGCTGATGGCGAGGTGAAAGTGTTGGAGGCCTCATGGGATGACAGTGGTAAAGGTTCCACTACAGAGGGAGTATTTTGCTGCGATTTACAATCCTCAGCAACGGATGCAACAGACTTGTTAGGATCAATAACTGTTTTTTCTCGAGACTGGGTCATTGCAACAACCTACAAGATAAGAAACAAATCTTAACTTTCAATTATAAGGTTTTCTCTTGGTTGTCTATGGAAGCATTGCAGTATTATGGATAAGGAAAATATTGTCTATGATAATTTATCCTCTTTACCAAGCTTCCTGCATTAAATGCCACAAAAACAAAATGACCACTCATTCTGTTTTTAAACTCGATCATTGTTCAAAATGCACCTAATGTGTTGTTATACTCCAAATGTATTTACCCTTGGACTTTTAACTAGCTATAAATGTCATAATGCATAAGTGAAGCAAAAGTTATATAAAAACATGAAAACATGAACAACACATTAAAAAAAAAAAAATCAGATTTCATCAAATAAAGTATCTGAAATAGCACGTGGGGACAGAATGGTCTTTGTGATATAACAAGTAGTGCTTGGAAAGGTTTCGAGTGTAATGTCTAGCGTCTGTTGTCACTGCAGGCGGAACCAAGTTCTTCTCCAGTATCCGTCTAGCACTAGCATTACCAGCAATGACACTTTGAGAAGGACTTCGCTGTGTTTGTCGTGTCACCTCGACCTGACTATTGTCACCCTCTCAAATGGCACACTGAGGAGCTTGGTCTTAAAGAAACATACTCTAGTGAAAGAATGTTATAAATATTAGAAAAAAAAATGATTACTCATCCATTTATTATATTATACTGTACACATTACAGTATTTGCACACTGAAAAATGTAAAAGTAATATTCTAAACTTTCTTACCTGTGCATGACCAAAAACTTTCCTGTCACCTATTGTATAAGGTTGGTCTGTAGACAAAGCATTTGCTGCACTAGAAGTAATGTTCTTTGCTCCATTTGTCAGAGTGAAATTATTCTCACTGATCAAGGTTCCCACTACAGGTGTGTTTCCATAAGAGTTACGCACATTTCGAGCCTGACGCAGCAACGGGCGCTCTTCTACGCGTGGCTCTACAACTGTTAATGGTGAGCCAATTTCCTCTACCTCCATTGAGTCATCATCACGAGGGCAAGCATTACTAGACTGATCTAATAATGGCTGCTTCAATGGGTTGTCCACTCCCTGAAATATCAACATCAAGACCTCAAAATCATGTACAGTATTAGAAAAAAATATTTGGGCTGGACATCTGGGAATTTTGTTTGTTGGGCATTTGGATTTTTTGTTAGGATTGTAGATAAAAAAAAAAATAGATGTAAAGGTAAACATTGGAGCCTAAAAATTGGGTAGTGGCACTAAGGGTGTTACATGCTACAGCAGAGTGACCAAGGTTGAGCCAAGAGCCAAGGCAAGAATAACTGGGGGAATAGTTTGAGCACATGTATAATTTCAGACACTTCCACACTTTTGATCTTGCAACCATACGCAGAATGTATGAATCTACTTCTGATGAGATTTTGAAGGAAACGTAAATTTTTGACAAAATAGTAAAAATTGGGCCATAATAATCCCAAATAAAGGAAAGATGCTGGAAGCTGCTGCAGATCAAGTCTAACTTCATACCAAGAACAACAATAACTGAGGGAAACAATATGAATAGATGTTAAGTTTCAGAGATTTCCCATTTTTGATCTTGTAACCTTAACACTGTCACTCGCTTTGGATGCTGATCACGTCCATTTTTTTTTCTACCGAGTCCTAGCCGTGGACAGGACTCGTGTCCACTACAAACCATATTTGTATAAAATTCAATTTTTATCCGATTGATCTTGGAAGAGTTTCAAAATAAGCGCCTTTAAAATGTGCACAATTTGATACCAAAATGAAAGATGTAACACAAAACTTTATGTCAGAACACTTGAAAGATTATAAATACGTTTTTGGGTCTAAATTTTTAATTTTAAAATATTCGTTAAAATTCTATTTATTTTGCTATTATTATGGGACTAGTTTTAAAATGTGCACCTTTATATTGGGAACAATTTGATACCAAAACGAGCGATGTAACATGAAATTTTATGTCAGAATACTGGAAATATATAAAGCCAGTGGAGCCAGTGGCTATTTCTTGATTTTAATGGAAAAGTATTAGCTTACTGTCTACCTTTACAGTCTTTGTACTTCCCTACAGAGCTCTACCTTCATAACTCTTACCTTTCTGGATGAATCTGTCTCCATTTCATCCTTAGTAGAAGCAACTATGGAAGAGGAGGATGTTTTATTCAAATCCTGACTACGCCCAAGCACAAACTGACGAGCTGGATCCTTTTGCAAGCTGTGTAAATTTCGAGCATGCTTTGCCAATGCCTTTAATTCTTTTGGATATGGTGTTGGAGCACGTGTTAAGCGGCCTGGCTTATCCACATCTCCTTCAAAAGCAAATTTAATGAGAGTTTTTGCTCGGCGTTGTTCATCCCAACTTTGGCCAGGAAAGGTATCAGCTTCCACAACAGTTTCTGCAAATTATATTACAAAGTATTTTTACATATATAATTCCCATTGTCATGGACAGGAAGCCTGAGCTTAAGCTCATCAATATACCCCCTTAAGTCAGCTACTGACCCTCCCCAAGATGCAACCCACAACTGCTGCCTAACTCCTGGGTACTTATTTGCTGCTTGGTGAACAGTGCATCCCCCAGGTTGAAGGAAACACGCCCAACCATTTCAATCCTGCCCAGATATTGAACTGGGGTCTCTTGGTTGCGAGTCTAGGAAATAGACCACAGTGTTACAGGACCAATCTAATATTATCACTATTTGTTTCTATCTTACACACTTTCCTTCTCTTTACCAATACTGTACTTTACTTTTGTCCATATTTGCATGTCAATCTTCTTTCATATATGTCAACAAAACATCAACTAAACTCACGATTATCTATTTCAAGAACTCCATAATCTGCATACATCAGATTTGATGAACTCCACTTACTCCTAATACGGACTCCTTCGAAGGCAAATTTATAGTTTTTTTTGCTCATTGATGTTCATCCCTACTTTGGCCAGAAAAGGTATCAGCATCCACAACAGTTTCTGTAAATTATATTACATAAAATATTTTTTCATATGTAATTCCCACTGTCATGGACAGGAAGCCCTGAGGCTTATCAAGATACCCCCTTAGGCCAGCTACAGCCTTCCCCAAGATGCAATCCACAAGAATTGCCTAACTCCTGAGTACCTATTTGCTGCTTGGTGAACAGGTACATTAGGTTAAAGGAAACATGTCAAACCATTTCAGTCCCGCCCAGATATTGAACTGGGGGTCCCTTGGTTGTGAGTCTAGGAAATAGGTAAATTCAGGTAAATTTCACACCATTTTCTAATCAACTTATCTTGATCTCCCTCATAGCCCTATCTGTATGTATAAATTATGCAACTATAAAAAATCTATAAATAAAATAAACAACATGGAAGTAGCTAAATTTATCCTTTCCTAAATTATGCACAACAATTACCATATTCATTAAATGTACAACACATTCTCAAGGAAGATGCAAGTAATGCTTATATTCACATACTATTTAGTCTCTACCCATGCCAATACCAAACAATGTAAGTGATATTTTATCTAGTCAACAAGCTGCAATATAATAACCAATGTTCTCACATTAAGGTTGTGTTTGATGCCAAGAAGTGCATCCTATAATAGGTGTCCGAGTGCCATTTCCATGGTACTCGGGCACCATTTCCCATATAACTAGCTAGTAGTAACAACCAAGTGGTGAATATAGTCAACTAAAAATAAGACGTCCACATTGCTTGAATGCTTAAAGCCATTGTTATATTGGTTTCCATTTGTTCAGTTTTAATAAATGTTTGCAATTTGCTTTTTATACTCATACTGCCAAAGGAGTTACTCCAAATCGCAACCAATATTTCATTAACAAATATCAACTCCCTTGAATCTCTGCCATTTCGGTTAATAATTACAGCCAAATGGTAAGTTCCAAGAGAACAATTTCCAGTATCCTGCCTTGTCATAGAAAGGAGCACTGTCCAGTGTTTTGCAAATACACAAAAATACCTGATTGCTGGTCACGTTGTTGAGGCAGCATGAAACATGTAAGGACACGTTGACCTGTCTCGGGCAGAGTCTCGGACTGCAGCTGAACCTGCGGCTTGTTCTGATTCTCGGACAACCACAAGGCACGCAGCTGTAAACAAATAGGGTTAATATGAGCATAGTCTTGTCATAGGGGTAAGAATTTGGTGTAACAATAAAGGCAAGCACAATCCTAACAGAATATTCATCTTGCTCAAAGGAATCCAAAACAAACTACAGTACTGAAGATACAGGGTATGCTTTGAGAATGTAAGGGTTGGGACAGCATATCCTAGGATATGAACAGAATTATGAAATGAGGTCAGAAAAAGTATCGAGTATAAGTTGATGTGCCATCCTCGTGATATTGAATGGAAACAAGTTAGAAGAAAAAAAAAATGACAAGATCACAATAACTAATAGCTACATACCTTAAGTTTGGTAAGTGACACTGGTAGGTGAGGTATGAGATTGCCACACAGATTAAGTATAGTTAGGCGAGGCAAGTGACCAAGCTCTGCTGGCACGCTGGTGAGGGAGTTTGAAGCAGCAGTGAGAACAGTTAGTCGAGAACACGAACCTAATTCTGGTGGTAGCTCTGAAAAGTTTCCAACAATAGTAAGAGATTAATATTATGACTATTTATAATTTCAATTCTAGTAGCAATTCTGAAAAGAATTAAAACAATAATAAACAAGCAGCATATATTTATCTCCACTGCAGGTTGTCTACTGGCCAACCTCAGGGCAGGTATCAAAGTACTACACCACAGTACTGCGGAGCAAATTAAACAAGTGCACCAGCACTCTATGATCTGCTTATTGAATCCACCTTACTACTTTTAATAAATTCTTCCCCCATCTTTTTTTTTTTTTTTTTTACTTCACGTCTCTCTTAAGCTAGTACTGTATGTGCTTGCTGAAAACAATCTTCATTCATAACACATGATCTAATTTCATAATGCAAAACTTATGGCAACTGCTTCACTTTGTAGTTTAGCCAAACTACAAACTACTCTTGTAGTTTAGCTGTAGTGACCTGGAGAAGTTGCATTTTTTTGGTAAAAATGAGTTGCCTCATGGGAATAACTTTGTTGATTTATTTTCAATGTTTCTCACTTTATTTATTCAGTTTTTTCATTAACAAGTTGCATCTATGTCAAAGATGGTGTTCATTATGTCTAACTTTGAAATTATACACATATACAGATATACAGTATGTGTATAAATATATGCACACCATGTATTTATTCATACTAATAAATATACTGTACTGTATATATATATTGGTGTGTGCAAGCCTATTTAACCCCTAGCACATATTTTTGCCTGGAATATATAATGGTAATCACTCAATTGCTGTTGTTGAAATACTAATGGCTCATACTATGGCTGCCCCCCTACATGTTCCTAAGTCCATAGCCTTAGAACGTTACATAGGCCTTAGTAACCTAGGCCACATTATTAAAGCCATGGAAGGAAAGTGAGGGGACTAAGATTTTTTTCAAGATGGGGGATGGTTACCGGAGGCCTGAGGAAGCAAATGTGATCTCCTTGCATGCATGAGTTTTTGAATCTTACGATATACAGTACTATCATCATTACAGGTCGGCTGGCGCACCACCGCACCCCTTCGTATGTTAGCTGGTGCAGTGCAGGGGTTAAATAATCAATCAATATGCCTATCAATAGTCCCTGTGCCTTCTTTTACCAACTTAGAACAAAGAACATAAGAACAAAGGCAACTGCAGAAGGCCAATAGGCCTTCTGCAGTTGCCTTTGTTCTTATGTTCTTAACTTTGAGGTAAATTCCGGAGCTGGAGCCCCTAGGGCAGTTCGTTGTTGCCTTCAACCTCGTTCTCACAGTTCCTGCGACAGAGCTGGAACCAATCGTACTGTATTAGCATTTGCCTTTCCATTGGAGACTTTTGGTGCTGTGAAGAATGGGGACCTGCTGCATGGGTGACAGCTTCTCCCCCGTATCAACCTACCCCTGGCTTTGTGCCCTGGAGAGGCCACTCCAGATCGACAACCAGAGCGTAACTTCATAGTTTCCTGAGACTGCTACAACTATTTTATGCCTAACTTGTTTAACCTAAAGGAGATACTTTAAAATATTTTTACTTTTTAAACAATGTGTAAAACTATACACAACAAACTCAATACAGGTAAACAATTCACATGAAAATATGGAGACACTTGTATGAGTACTACAAACACATGCCTTACAGTGTACAAATACTGACCATGTGGATTTTAGAGGAAGTAGTGGGGATCAATGCCATTCAAACCATCAAAAAGAGAGGATAAAGCAAAACAGGTTGGGAGTCACTATACCAGATATTTCTTAATTTAAAATGGCAGGGGCCCAAGCTTATGTCAGCTTATCCCTGACAAAAGCTCAAATACTTGTAGATGCTTTGCTTTTATAACAAACAAATTCAGATAAATTTTTTCAAGCCCTTTTAAATGATCTCTCTAACAGTTCTGAGATGGAAATGGAATTACCCGTTAAAACGTTGTCATCAACATGCAAGGTGTGTAGAGCTCGCAAGAGGCCCACTGATGCCGGTAAAGTCTCTAAATCATTCCGAGTAACCACTAATTCTTCAAGAGCTGACAGCTCACCAATGGACTCGGGAAGATGAGTCAAAGCGTTATCATCAAGCTTCAACACTTGTAACTGATGACACCCACCCAATTGTTCTGGCAGTTCCTGTAATGGAAGAAGATAATCACATTCTCAAAATATGCCAGCTCTAAAAGAAGAAACAAAATTAGCTTTAAAGAAAGAGGAACATTTTCTCATTTTCAAGTGGGGAAAATGCATTCAAAATTAAAATTTTGTTTGATTAAATTATGTAATTAATCTTCAAGTCTAATGTATCCTACCTTTTTTCAGCAATTCAAACTCCCCTAGTGTCACTGCTTTTCCATAGCTCCTATGGTAGTCTTATTCTGAGTTTTAACCCATGATAGGAACCAAAATAGAAAAAAAAGTGTCAGGTATAAACACTGGGGATTTTGCTTGCACTTGGAGCCTTAATAGACTGTTTTTGTCTATCAATAAATGTATTTGTAAACAAATAAGAGAACACTTCTTTCCACACCTAAATAATATAATGTGTAAACAATGCATTTGTAATATACTACGTATATTACAAATATAATATACATATAATATACATATATTATGTACCCAAAAAAAATTAAAAATTGAAAACTACTGTTTGCTTACTTTTCCAGAGATCAGATTTACCCTGGAAAAACGACAAATTTATTGTTTATATTGGAAATTTACTTTTCTAGGAATTCTTGGCACCATAATATTGAATATGCACTAATATATGCCCCCAAACTGGCAAAAAAAAAAAAAAATGGGCAAGACATTAAATAATGTCTTGCCAATTTTTGGCATAATGGGCAAGACATATTATGAAATACTGTATAAAAATAAGACCTTTTACCTTAAGATCATTAGAAGAGAGGTGTAGATCTGTGAGCATAACACAGTTCTCAATTTCACCAGCTACCCAGTCCACCTTGTTCTTGGAGGCTTCAACATGAACCAGCTTTTTAAGTCGTCCCAAAAGAGGAGGCAGTGACTTTACCTTGTTATTATCAAACCATAGTTCAGTCAGGCTTCCCAAACTGCCAATCACCTCAGGCTGAAATGCAACAAATGCAGCTAAATATCACTGAATATCTAGATATTTAGGATGAATGAATAATTGATGGATACAAGATTTTAAAAAGCATGTATGAGCGAAGAAATTAAGGGTTTAATGTATACAGAATTGTTAGGGGTAATGCCTAGTGCATTACTGAGAACTGAGAAAGTATTTGTGCACCAGACCAGAAGGAAGAGAAGTTGAAGGGGAGCAAAGTTGAGCCCCTCATTCACACAACTTATGGAACATTACCACCCTTACTTTTCCAGAATTCAATTAAGGTACAGTAATTTGCTCCAAAAACATTATAGTGGTAATTTACCGACTGAAACTTGAACTGTATTAATACTGTTACAAAGTATTTAAAAAGAAATGTAAATACTGTAATATTAAATTGTAGAGCAATGCTAATAAAATGTTTACTGGAGACACAGGACGTTCAACACTGCACCGACACCAGCTGACTTCCACAACACTGACACTTTATAGTTCCGAAGAATGATGACTACCTCAGCACGCACCTACAAGTACAATTGGACTTGAATATCTATGTAATTTACAGGCTATTACCACTATGGATTTGTCAACTACACTGAGGTTTCTTTATTCACTCCTACAAGAAAAAAAGTCCTCAAGTAGGTTTCGTATTGAATAAACTTACCAGTTCCGAAAAATCATTTTGTCCAATATCAAGACGCTGTAAACTAGTAAGGCGTGCAATGGACTTGGGAAGCGTGTTAAGTTGATTATCACGAAGTTCAAGAACCCTTAACCGCGACAGCCGTCCAAAATTTGCAGGTAGATATTCCTGGAAGAACAACACAATGTCTAACTTTACTGTTAAGAATAAAAATAAAATCTAAGAAATTAAATTTTTTGTTTATCTTTTATATAACAATGAAAATCAAGTAGTCCAAATACTGTACAACAATAATTAATTAATAATTAAGTGATAATTAATTATAAATATTTGTATTACAGCATAACATAGCTACTGAACTAACAAAATTGAAAAATAATACCTTACTAAACATTGTTCACTACCCACCAAAAATGTATCGTTGAGGTAAAGTTCTTGTAATGACAGCAATTGTGTAAAACCTTCGGGAAGCCGGCACAGTGGATTAGTGCTGGCATTTACCACACTAAGCTGCTTGCACCCTTTAATGTTATCAGGAATGTCTGAAATAGCTATAAAAAAAAAAAAAAAATGATAAACTCCAGAAATGAGATGCCAGTTTTCAATATTTGCAATAAACTTTGGAAATGCCCTTCTACCATATCTACCAATGCCCTTCTATCTATCTCAATCTGTTATACCTTATTCTTGAAGTTGCAATTAATGTAACCCACATATGATTAGTTCCCATATAATCAATATAAATTTCTGACTTTTGCCATTATCTCTTAGCCTACTGATATAAAAGATTAATGCTCTTCATACCTCCACTGCATATTTTCACACTTCATTAAATGAATATGCTAAAACAGTAGACAACATATAATTTTGGAAAATGTTATTTTTATTACCATTCTTGCTGAGGTCTATGGTAGTGAGGTTGATGAGGGATGCCACAGCAGGAGGTAACGATGAAAGCTCATTGTCGCTTAGGCCAAGAACTCGCAGACCATGACAGTAAAATAATTGCCGTGGCAGTTCACTCAACTGAAACCACATTTATGCAACAATTAGTAACTTTTATATTTATCATATAAATACTGCCTAAAAAATATCAAATTTTAACTACTTATATTAACAACATGAGTTGTAATTAGCATATAATTTAAACCAATATTTTCTTTGAAACTTGCCTTCCTCAAGAGAGGGGGAAGCGGATCCCACATGCAGAAACTTCCTTGATATTTTGGATGCATTCAAGTTTCAAATTTTGTAATGGAGCACAATGTATTCATTAAAGCAATTGTGCATAACCTGTCATGAAAAAGGAACAGATGCAAATTGTTCACATTGAGAAACAAGAATGTGTGAAATGTACGAAGGAGGACTACCCTTCTGCAGATCAACACAAATGAATGAGGAATGCTCAAATGAAGAACCTGAAAGTTGTATTAGAAGTGGCCTATAATGAATGCCAGCAAACTGTGGGTGTACAGTATAAGAATATGTCCTGGATTCTTCACATCCAGGAAATAAGCCAAGACTGACACAAAACCACCTAGGAAGCCTTGACACTTTATCTTACCAAATGCCCACAATGGTCATCCAGTAAGTTAGACAATTAATGAGAGTACTGTACCTGTATTGAGAAAGGAAAACAAATTGCAGATAAACTAAGAATATCATTAGTTCTGCAGAACTGGAACTCCGCTGGGACACCATCCGAAGGGATGAAGTAATGGACATGAAAGTTCCAGACATCCCTTCACCATATTGTCACTGAAGCATACCAAGAAAGAGCTTAGAGGAGAGGCCCCACCAAACCTGGGTAAATATCGAGGAGGAACTAACCTCGAAGAAAAAGAGCAAACTGACAACATAGCCTACCAACCTAAATGTGCAGCACAGAAATCACCACATCATGAAGGAGCAAAATAAAATGCTTAGACAAGGCATCTGCAGCTGCCTCATACCTAGGTAAAAAAGAAAGAAAAGGAATCCAAAATATAGGAATCCATGTCAGCACAAAAATCATTTCCAGTAGAAAAAACAGAGAAACTGACAAACCGATTTGAATCTTGTGATTACCATGACCAAAGTCACCTCCAATTTGGAAACCTGGATATGGAGAACTTACATATGTAACAGGGAATGACAGAAGCAAATAAAACTCCATTAAGCACATGATCCCCCCCCCCCAATGATTGAGGACTCTCTTTAAATCCAACAATGCTCAAATGTGAGAAATGAGGCCATTTTTTCCAAGGAGAATAAAGGATTGCACGCCAACTAGGAGAAACCCAAAACCTCATAACTATCAAGAAGTAGCTGTGGAACTGAACTGAAATGTATTCACGTCCATTTCCAAAATATTGTCCTGGTGCTCTAGTAAGAAACCTTTCAGGTTCTGGCATCAATGCCCAGCTCTAACGTAATTTTGGGCGAGGGAAGCCCAAGACAAACAAAATAAAAGGAAGAATAAATAGTCACAAAAATCTGTCAAGGCACGACCTGTTATACGACCTGTTTTGGTAAGCAAAACAGATCATGCCCCCAGACACAAATAACCATACAGTATATTGAAACAAAGCAGAAATGTAGCTAGAGAGGAGATGCAATGCCGAATTGGACAATAGTACATAATCTCTACCGTATTTGTAGAGAATGTCAACCTTCCCAGAAACCATACGTATTTATGTCCACAGCACCAATAGAATCCTGCCTTATAAAAACAACCAAGTAGAATATTAAATAATAGTCATTTAATCATTTAAAAAATTTAGCTTTTTTTTTAATTAACATTAACTTTTTTAACTGCCTTTGGAATTAAATCTGTTCAAATACACATTATATCATGCTAATAAACAAACACTGACAGTGGCATAAAAATTTAAAGAAAAGCAATAAAATCTAGTTAGAATAGTAGTTTGTTACTTATTAGGGGCCTTGGGCCCAAATGCTTCGGATGACTAGGATTTCACTGAGTAAAGTACTGTACTTGCTTTGACAATATACTATACACGACTTACAACTGAAAAACTAAAATAAAAAATCTTTCAAATAATTAAACTTGCCTAAAGACTTACCTGGTTAGAATCAAGATGCAGTTCTTCAAGGGTACGCTCACAGGCAAAGACATCAGCAGGAACATCAGAGAGAGAAGCATGACAATAGTCTAGTGTTCGAATATCATCACTCTCCCCTCTCCCCCCACACATGAAGCACGCAAACAGGGACGGCATCTTTGCAGGTAGAAGCCTGGTTATCTTCACCCGTTATTTGTACAGCTTTGTTACTTTGAAGTTCGTTTCATCGTGATCACGCCTTCTTCAGGTACATCTTTCATTAAAACAGCCTCATACCTAGTTAGTGAAAATTTTCCCATGTAGCCATATTGTATTCAAAATTTGTATAAATGTACAAGTTATTAAGTACACTTAAAGAAACTAAATGGGGTTTATAATAAAAAAAAATGTAATATATAACACAGTCCTGTATGTTAAAGTTTCTACTATTATAGTAAGAAAATTACCGGGGGGAATTAGATTTTGTTTTCCTTATCTTTATCACGTTTTTTTAAAGAAAAGCATGTTCTTTTCATATAATTTATTGAGTCAGGGAACAGGCAGCCAAGCGTGTATATACATGTTAGGGTTATATCGAAGTCCTCCCCAAGATCAAACTACAGAACCCCCCTCCCCCCCAGGATGTAACTCCACAACAAGCAGACTAATTCCTGGGTACCAATTTACTGATAGGTGAAGAGGACCATTAGGTGATAGGAAATGCACCCAACCATTTATGTCCTGCTTGGTATTTGAACCTGGAATTCCCATTTATGAGCCGAGAACGAATCAAACTATACTACCAGTACCCCTCCCATACACCATCGTAAGTCATAAAAAATATTGTTTAGACAGCACAAAAATTACCGGGTATCAAGTCTCACTCTTAAACTTTCATCCAACCATACGGATCTTCCCAGAGTATTGCTGTACACAACCCTCCCACGTAGTCTCTTCCATTCCTTTCTGATGAACTGCCATTTCTCTGGAAGGCTCACATGGTACTCCTGACATGAGTCAACTTAGTTCTGGGAATGACTTATCACCCGGGGATAACCTTTCTCCAAAGTAGATATGTCCTTCTGAAGATGAGGTCACCATGCTTGGACACAATAATTTAATTGGTGGCATATCAGATATATATAGTTGCACAACTACCTGTACCTTTTTTTCCTTAAACTCAACAGTTCATTTGCCTATTCCTAGAGTTTGGTTGGCTTATACAAAGCAAAACTATAAATAATGTTGAATTAAGCACTTCACCAAATTACTGCCTTGTCACTTACCTTCACTAATTTAGGACTATCTTAAAAACTATAACAAAGATAGAACAATTAATTCACACATTATTTCATTATATTTGTTATTCTGCAATAATGAGGTGCTGTGGATGATGTCCACATCAGTCTGCTGCTTAAATACCATCAGGTCCAGCCATATTCTAATTGAGTGGCCATGTGGATGGCCTAGTCCTAGGCCAGGAGGACACGGAAATTATTGACGAGTTGAAATGGACAGAACTATCTGTGCAGATATTATGAATAAACTTATTTAATTATTGCGACTCTAAACATAATTGTGGGCCATCTGAGATGATGTCATCTTGATAGGAAGGCCAAAATCTACTACAAGCACCAAGTAAGTAACAATTAAAAACTAGACAAATTCAAATTAAAAAACCATTTACCTACTGTACCCCAAATACTATTAGGTTCTAGTTTAAGAATTTTGAAGTCTGTAAATGTTTTTCTTTGACAAATGGTTAATACATCATAAAATGTTAAGACTTTAAAAAATAAATCAAATGGTTATTGTAGTTGCTTCATATAATTGTCTCTTGAGAAAGCCAGATTGCCCACCTTGCAGTGTATCTGCCATATCCAAAGTTCTAGCACGTAACATTCCTCGAAAGACACTCGTCTAGCCTTTAAACGGATCATTTCGTGGTTTCATTGGCGTTTAAAAGCTCAGGGAACTCACCTATTTTAAAGCACATCACAGGGCTCAAACAGGTGTCGTCCACAGGTCCCAAAAACAACAAACGTCAACAAAACTGACGCCAAGGTAAAGTATAGATGCCAGCATCTTTGTCTCCTGCCGTACTCACGCCCACAGCCCTGATGCAGGATCTAACCATAAAGCATCGCGTATTACAAAGAAAATATTACGGTACTAAGTAAGACTTTCTTAGACGGCTTATAGTAGGATCATATCTTTGTTTAACATGGATACTCAAACTACTTGCTTTTCTGATTTTTAGAAAATGGGAAAGCAATGGAATCCCTTCAAACGATTGCATGAGCACATTGCTTATTGCTAAATTACCTTGACCTCCAAGAAGATTGGAACATTATTATTTACACACTTTCTTCATAAACGTTGCCAATAGCAGACGAGGTGCGTAAATTTAGGTTTATTTGTTCCATTATTTTGGATTTTGAGCTGATATATTGGTCTATTATAGATTATTATGAATTTATCTAGATTATCCAGTGAGTCACGTGGACTGAGTTGCCTTTATCTCGAGTAGTTTAGTGAAGATCGGCATTTCCCGCAGCTCCCACATCTTCCAAACACATTAGTCAGTGTTGTCATTCATTTCTCAGTCATATATAGAGTATGTTCATATCGAGTCGGCTTAATTGGTATAGTTTTATGGCAATGGTTCCTTTATGGTGCCTTAACTGGCAACCTGGCGTGCTACTGAAGCTTCAAGGATGTCACCTCCACGTGGGTGACTCAGTCCATATTATAGCTATCCTCAGGGCACGAAGGTTGCGTGTACCTGCTTCATACTTACACACTGTAAGTCATCTCAGTATGAATGTATAGTCATGTATAGTGGCTGTAAGTTACAGCCACTGTACAACTTCCCCAAAAACCAACAACTAATTCCGACCTCTTATAATTTTATATATTTTAAGTACACATGAACCAGATACTAAAATACACAAAACAGTAAGTTATCGCTGATTTTACTATATACACTCTAGGCCCTCCCAAGGTCGAATTACTGACCCCCCCCCTCCCCCTCAGGAAGCAACCCCACAAGCTGATTAACTCCTGGGTACCTACTTACTGCTAGGAGAACAGGAGCATTAGGTGTCAGGGCTGCAGAAGGCCTATTGGCCCATACGAGGCAGCTCCTATTTATAACCACCCAATCCCACTCATATACATGTCCAACCCATGCTTGAAGCAATCGAGGGACCCCACCTCCACCACGTTACGCGGTAATTGGTTCTACAAATCAACAACCCTGTTACCGAACCAGTATTAACCCAAGTCTTTCACTACCGCCCACAAGATGGGTATGGGGTGCATAATAAATGAACTAAACTAACTAAACTCTTTCCTAAATCTAAACTTATCCAATTTATACCCATTGTTTCGTGTGTGTCTTGTGTTGATACTTTTAATACCCTATTAATCTTCCTATCATTGTGAAGCAGAATTCACCAAGCATTATAGCAAGTTGTCCCAGAGCCATGGGACCGACCAGTCGGGATGTGCCCCTTGTCCGTGACATAGGCCTAGGCTTATGATATGAAGTAGAGTAGTGTGTGTCAAAAACTAGCTGTGATGCTCAAAATAAAAGCACTGGAAATTTTTTTATATAAAACTCTAAGGAAAACACATACCGGATTTAAAACCATGAAAATTGATGATGGTCACTAGAGATGCCAATATTTCTTAAAGGGTGGCACCTGGGCCGACCTCGACTGGCCTCTTGACACTTATACGACACCCTACCCCCCACCATGTGTCATTTTGGAAATGTTCGTTGAAAGTTAAGCTCCAGGCGTCTGGTTTTCTACTTCGAACAGACAGAACAGTCAACAGTCTTCGTGGTGTAGTGGTAAGACACTCGCCTGGCGTTCCGCGATCCTGGCCGGGGAGGATTTACTGGGCGCAAATCCTTAACTGTAGCCTCTGTTTAACTCAACAGTAAAATGTGTACTTGGTTGTAACAACGATTCTTCGCGGCGGGGATCGTATTCCAGGGACCTGCCCGAAACGCTACGCGTACTAGTGGCTCTACAAGAATGTAACAACTCTTGTATATATCTCAAAAACAAAAAATTACAGCGGTGGTAAAATGTAGATGAATCCATGATTAAGTTATTATGCTAATTCAAATTGTTAATATATTATGCTAGAAAAGTAACTCATCTTCCTCAAAAATTTATATTTTGTATTAATGTTTAAGGATCCATTATTCAGTGTAAAATTTTGGTTCTGTTCTCTGAAGTGTTGTGTTAATTATATATATGAAAATGTGTATTTTTCCGAAAACGGTGACATTTTAATTATAGCCTATGTCTGTAGTTGACGGTAAAGTATATTGAATTTCTCGAAAAGGTTTAATCAGAAATCCTTTTTTTTCCACTGCAAGAAATACAGATTTTTTTATCCAAATATGTAATGTAGAGGTAAAGTCCTGCTGGTCCCCAGTGTCGTGAACTCTTAACACAGATTCGTTCTGAACGCAACATTCACCAAACTATATATCAACAGCCTCATGCAGAATTTACTTCCCATAATCTATTTTTCCAACACCCAGACCCTTTAATTGTGGCAACCAATTGGTTTGTACTGGACCTCACATGAGAGAACATACGGAAGGTGACTGAAGGAGTCGGGTTTTCTAATTATATAAAATAGACTGCTAATAATTAACAATATAACATATCTGACTTGGTTAAATTGATTACCGTTTACCAATACACTCACTGGATCTACCCGGCCGGCACCTACAACCCATAACCTCATCCTAAGTCCCAAACTCCGAATCATCACTACAACACCCAGTTAGTCTTCCATACAATACTCACACACTGCAGACTCGACTCGGGTCAACAAGATCACATCACCTCCCCCCACATTCGGTGTATTTCTTACCGTAGCTGCCACAGACGGATATAGAGGAGTGCTTGATAAAACCTTCCACAAGACTGCCGCCCTGCCCGTCACAGCCTTCACCACCACAGCCGGCATCCCAAGGAGGGTATAATCAGATTAAAAGTAAATCTTGTTTCCAAGCACTTTGGTTCACCCTTTGTGACCTCTTTGCTTGGGACGGGCTCTTTGACCTTACCCCGATGTGTGACCACAGTCTGATTACTGTACTACCATTCCTTTCAGTCATCATTTGTTAAGTGTTGTAGTGCTTGATTCACTAGCTAATACTTACACCTAACTTGTGGATGACAACACCATTACCGAAGAAGAGATGTGGTTGTAGCATATAGGATAGTATTGGTCGCATGATAGATACTGTAACGATTTGATACTTTAATTCAAGGGCATGATAAGAGTATAAGCCGATTAATGGTTCAATGGACGATTTTTAGAGGTAAGTGACGTTGGAATTTGGACAGGTGACGTTGGATTCATATTGTCAACGTTGATTAAACATTACTCGAGCATGTTTACTATAATCATATATAATTAAGATGAAATGATTCCCGGGAGAAAGCGCTACATAATCATACATTATAGCGCTTAATTAGTTAGGACTAACATCTTGAATATGAGGACGGAGTGAAGGAACGATAACCAGTTAAATGAACCGCTGGGGGATTGAACTCCGACTCTGCAAGAAACAAGGCAGTCGCTGTGCCCATCAGTCTAAGTGGGTGGGCACGTTTTAATGGGTTAAATGAATAAAATATAATATAAATCATTTTAATGGTTTGTATTATTTTATTCACCTAACCGCATAAATTTACGTCATTTGATTTACGCATAAAATTGGTGAGAAAATTATATCATGGAGCGATTGTATCCTGAGCAATTATCACTGGCCAGAGCGGCAAACTGTATAGACTTATACTGTGTTATAATTGTCATATAGCCATAATAATTACCTGGTATTTAGCAACATTATTAATATTTGGAAATAAACTACATCATTATTTTAGCTGAGGAATGTATAATTAGTTTGTTCATATAGCTATGATATATGGCGGCGAGGCTTTCGGAAATACAGTACTAGGCTGTATTCACAAATACAGTTATACTTAAGGTGTCAGCATGGAGACATGAGGTTAGACTTAAAATATATATTCTTGAGATGTAACAAATCGCAAAGTATCTTTTACTTTTCTCAGCACAATGATATCAGCAATGGCTTGCCTGTAGTTGAAATTGAAATACGTTTATTGAGTATAAATACGCACCAAGGGACGAGGTAGCTTAAGTTATTCTCACTCTGGTATATAGTACTGGACAAGGGGCATGGAGCCCTGGCTGCCCGGGTTCGAATCCTTCAGGGGTAAAGAGTTTTCTGATGCACACTCTGCATCTGTTCTGTCTGCAGTTCTGATGCAGACAGAACTGAAAACTCCACACCCCAGAAGGATTCGAACCCAGACAGCCAGGAGCATTATGCAACTGGCGTACCCTGTACCTTAACCACTCAACCAACCGTGACTGTACAAAAGTCATTGGTAGCGAGGCTATATCCCCAACGACCCGACAACATATATTAGGACAAATATATGCACTGTAATATTAACAGGTCATGTGAATTGATAGGCTATAGATGGGTTACTTCCTTTCGTACGTTTCTGGTTCGGCCAAATAGTTGCATTTTTTACAGAGTAGCAAATCGAGATAACTGGCTGGTTGATTATAATATTAAAACCAATCTAAAGGATTAGTCAATTCGTTGATATGGCCGTCCCCGAATCACACGGATTAGCTGTCTGCTTCAGTGATTATTAGTTTCCCCTACGCGCGAGCCGCGGGTGTTTTCAGAGACAATGGGACTAAATCCATAATATTGCCAGGTGAAGCGCGGCAACAATGGCGTGTTTATGGTCCGCTCTGCATAATTTAGGGCTTTTGTTTCTGTGCTTATGCCAGACAGCTCTCCGACAATGTGCGCGCCAGGCCGCCCTCTAACAATGTGCACACCAGGCTGCGCTCCAACAATGTGCACACCAGGCTTCGCTCCAACAATGTGCGCGCCAGGCCACCCTCTAACAATGTGCACACCAGGCTTCACTCCAACAATGTGAGCGCCAGGTTTCGCTCTAATAATGTGCACACCAGGCTTCGCTCCAACAATGTGCGCGCCAGGCTTCGCTCTAACAATGTGCGCGCCAGGCTTCGCTCTAACAAT